TGAATATTGTCTTGCCACGGGGACTGTACTGAGGAACCTTGTAGTAATGAGACTCTTGGTTCCGGTATACTCGAGTATTACCAAAAGTGACTGAATGGAGTGCGGGCCCGGTTGGGGTATGATTGGTGGAAGGAAAGGAAGTAAAGTGAGGTCTACGGTTTTGGTACTTTTAACATTGACGGAGGGTCAATGAGGTTGGATCAAGATTGCAAGTGTGGAAATGGGCTCTTGAGAGCCAACCGTATCCTTTCCCTGGTTTGATTTATCTCTTAATTGCATATTTGAACTGAACGGTTATGATTATGTGATCTTGACTGCTTTTGTGTGATAGTTGCTCACTGGGCTTTAGCTCATACCGTGCCATTTGTTTTCCTTACAGGAAAATGACCACTTTTGGAAAGAATGTGCTAGTTGGTTCAAGTTGAGCTCATGTGAATATATATTTTGAATAGCTCCTTGAGGGTGAAAACCCTAAGTGTTTTGTTGCAACCAATGGTTGGCTTGTAAATGGTTATTTGTACATGTATGAACTAGTTGAATATTTGATATGCCGTCTTGGCTTGCAAATGTTGGTTTCCAATGTATATATATGTTTGGTCGATGCTTGGTTGGATTTCGAACTGATACGCGTTTCAAGCGGAAAAGAAAAAAAATTTGGAAAAGGAAAGGGCCAAATCCGGCCGGATTCTGACGTGTCCTCTACTGTTCATCGCGGCTTCGATTTTCGTTTTTTTTTATTTTGTGATTTTGACCTATTTGCGCGCGTTGGTAAGCTCCGGAGCGCATTAGATCGACGTTAACTGATCCGTAGTCCTGGCGAGAGCTGGGCAGGCAGTCCGCTAACCCCTTTGGTTCGCCTTAGGGGAAAGTGGGGCTGTTACAAGACATACCATCTGATCCTGAGGACTTGTTAGGGTACATGGATTTGACTGCCTGGTAGATTTCCTGTTCTAAGACAGGTCTAATTAGCATTCTGTTCATGTCAGCAGTTATAGTCAGTGGGATTCCTTCCAAAATTTTCTCAAACTCTGTAGGGTTATCAGATGTGAATAAGTGCTGAAAATAATCCACCACCTCCTCACATATCTCTTCCTCAGTATTGCACCACTCCCCAGTTTTCTTCTGTAACACCCTCAACTTATTCTGCCTCCTCCTACTCGTTACACTTGCATGGAAGAAGCTTATATTCTTATCACCCTCTGTTAACCACTTAACCCTGACCTTTTGACTCTAGAAGATCTCTTCCCTCTTGTATGTTTTTGTCAATTGCCTCTTAAGCCCCACAATCTTACCTCTACTGTCGCTGCTTCTACTTTCCCTCACATCCCTAATTTTTTTCTTAATCTGATCTATATGCTGCTTTGAATTCATGTTCGGCTTTCTACTCTATCTCAGAAGGCTGACTCTGACTTGCTTAATTTTACAGTGCACCTTATATAACCCAGAACCCTGCAGATCAGTCTCCCAAGCCTCCTTCACCATCTTCCCCACATCCCCTTGCATGAGCCATCTCCTATCAAACATAAATCTCTTCCTCCTTTTCCTTTCTTCTGGTGTAGTATCTAGAATCAGAGCACACTGATCAGGAGCCTCAGTTTCAACATGAGTGCACTTCACCTTTCCAACACTATCACACCACTGCCTTGTTCGCAGAATCCTATCAATTCTTTCTTTTACTTCTCTCTCCTTGTCCCAGTTAGTGCACCAAGTCCAAGAAACCCCCTCATAGCCAATATCTATCAACATATTCCTATTAATGAACCTATTAAACGTCTCAAAACTTGCTTCTGACCTGATCTGACCTGATCCTTCCTCCCCACTTCTCCCTATTGGAGGTAATATCATTCAGATCCCTCATCAATACCCAACAATTTTCCAAATCTATTTCCTTATTTCTATTACGTGCCATTGTTGTTCTCTCACTTTATCATCTGTACTGGCATATACACATACACACCACCAATCTCTCTTTTCTTCCTGGTCAGCCACTAATAATTTTATAGTGAAACTAGTAAACAGAATAGTTTTCACCTATAAATCATTCCTTCATATTACAGCCAAACCCCCAGCCAAGCCTACTGGATCTCCTACAAACAAATTATCAAACTTCACCCATTGCTTAATACTATTCATGTAACTCTTCTTCTTTTTTGTTTTAGACAGAAAAATCAAAGAAAGGGAGTGGACTCTCACAAGTTTCTTGAGTTGGGAAACTGTCAAAGGGCTCCCCGCACCTCGACAGTTTCACATGAGAGCTCTCATTGGAACTTGGGAGCCTCATTGAGGGAAGGCTCCACCATCTCAGTAGGCATAATACTATTTTCAACTATCTCCATCAATCTGGCCTGTTTCTTACTCTCATCTTTCCTGTGATCTACCAACTGTCCTCCATTATTGACATATATCTTCCTTTTCCCTATTTCCAGCTCTTGCAGAGGTTTCCTCCTACTCACCTTCTGCACTAGCCTCTTCCATGTCTTACTGATTATGTAGTTCCCTGTGCTGGTCCTGGCTCATTTTGACGTATTTTCTGTATATTTTCCCCTTCCTCTCTTTCCTACCTTCTCCTACCCTGTCAGCATCTTCATCATCCACCCACATTGCCTTCTTTTCCCCTACATCCCCCTCACATTTCCCCTCCACAGTTACTACATTCTTCTGACCCCCCTTCCCTATCTTCCTCAGTGACTTCCTTGGCTTCCTCTTGTGCATAGCACTCTCCCCTGCTCTCCTCCCTCCCTATCCCATGCTTACCCACTTTTGCCAACCCTTCCTGCTCTACCAAATCCCTAACTGTTCCCCCTTTCATGACCACATTCTGCCCCTCATCCCTGATATTTGGGGATCTAGGATTCCCAGAGAATCTGTGGAATTCTTTAGTATAGGTCAACACAGGGAAGTAAGAAAGACTACCCTTCCTATCCAGATTTGGTTCTCTTTCCCCCTCCTTCTCACATCTCTCATCTTCCCTCTTATACCTAGCTTTCCTCCTAGGACTCCTAGGAAAGCTGGCCCTTAACCAGTTACCATATTGATTCTCTTTGTCTATATTCATTCCCTTCCTAGCACAATGACGTTCAGAATGTCCTATCAATCCATAACAGAAGCAGAAATCAGGACACTTCTTGTATTTAAATTCGATCCATCTTGTCCCCCCACACTTTTCACCATAACTCCTCTTGGTAAGGGCTCTCTCAGATCTAGATCTACTAGATTTTTAAATGCCTACCATCATTTTCTCCTCCCTGGGAGATAAGAACCTCTCTAACCCCCTCAAAAATTTCACCTATTTTTCTTCCTGCCTTCTTCGTTGCCCAGTGAAGGGGGATATTCCATACCTGAACCCAAACTGTAGTCTTACTAAACGCTATCTCCTCCTCTTCCAATCCCTCATTCCACTCTAACAACACTAAAGGCTGACCATCATATATCCATGGGCTTTTACTGAGCACAAAATCAATATCCTTCCTATTTTCAAACCCAAACTGAAACATATTAGCTCTAATCTCAGTAAATTTTAAATTCCTCACCTGAGGCCATATGTTATTGGCAAAGCTCTTCATACCAGTAAAGTTAGCCTGCTTTTCCCCCCAAACTTTGTCAATCAAGCTCAATCTGCACTCCTTTATACTTTTTTCCAGCTCTTCGTTCTCCAGACAAACTCCCTCCCGTTCATTCTCCGATAAGGAAAGCTTTCACAAGACCTCCTCGATATGCTCCATAGTCACAGATCCCACTGCCTACACTGCCTCAACTGCCAGAACGTGCCTTCCCAGTCCAGTTCAAGGAAGCACCGCTGTCAACCCACTGCACCCTGCCTCTGTCCTCCAGCCAGACAGTATAGCTCAGAGATCTGAGAACTAAGCGAAAATCTGGAAAACTGAGACGAAATCAAATGATAACAAAACAAATAGAAAAAAGAAGAAAATTAAAAGAAAGCTCAACTCATTCTTCCTGCGACCCAAAAGAACTAAAAAGTATATGGCTATTAACTGAAAATGCGCTAGCTATGACAGACGAATGAGATATTCTTAGGAAGGAGATGATGAAAGAAGGAATGAATCACTGCAATACTCTTGCAGTTATTCATAATTGCATCGATCGGAGGTTGAAAAGTTCAAAGAGTTCTTCTTGCTTTCAATTATTTTGGAGTTCAAAAAGAGAAAAAGTTTGAAAAATTTGTTAGAAGGTGTGGCTCCCACCGAGGGGAGAATTCTCTCTCTAGAACAAGAGAAAAAACTTTCAAAGTGAGAGACTGAGGTTAATAGAATACATGACTTAGATGGTGGAAAGTTTTACAAAATTAAACAAACTATGTGATATTAAAAAAAGTGGTATTGAGACATTTGATTAGGATAAAAAGAGTTGAAAAAACATAAAATGAAATTTATTGGGTATTTGGACGATATTAAAATGGTTTAGCCCCGCTCATCTTGGTCTCGTGACTAACACGAGATTGCTTGGATATAAATCATATTTTGCATTTTCAATTAAGTCCCATCAAATCCCCCCTCCCCAATTTGATTAGGATAAAAAGGGTTGAAAAAACATAAATTGGAATTCATTGGATATTTGGACGATATTAAAATGGGTTTAGCCCCGCTCATCTTGGTCTCCTGACTAACACGAGATTGCTTGGATATAAATCATATTTTGCATTTTCAATTAAGTCCCATCAAATCCCCCCCAATTTGCCAAATGTAATGGACATTTAACTGTTTATGTTTTTTTAGATTGTTAGGTTAATGTGACATTGCCTCTAATATATATATAAATAAACAAATGTGTCATTATACAGGGCCACATATGATTCAAGTTGTTAATTCTGAAAAAAAAATCAGAACAAAATTAACTCGCATTTTCAAATAATCACATACCCAGCCACACGTAGTATAATTTGTCACTCCATAGTTTGATATTGTAACATAACTAGTGAGAAAGGACCATCTAAAACAAAGAAACACACCTTCGGATTTTTTTTTACTTATTTTTTTCTGGGAAGGGTTAAAAACTTAAAATGGATGCGGAGGCAAAGGGTTCGATGTGATTGGGGGATCCCTTCTCTCTCGTCCTTTGACTATTCTGTCGTTTCTGATTGGTCCCCTTGTCATCATTTCCGCTCCTCGGCGGTTTGCCGGTTAATAGCCATAACCACGCCTTCCTCTCCTTATTACCCTATTCAGGCAACCCATAGCAGGAGCAGATTTTCCCCATCCGAAACTGCAAACGATACGCTTTGTTCCCAGGTATCTTCCTTCCTGTCATCGCAAATAAAAGAGAGAGAGAGAGAGAGAGAATCTTACTTGTTCCACTCTGCAATATCAATTCATAACTGGATATATTGCTGACTGCGGATTAGTTTATTGCTTGTATTTCATGCTCTTCTAGGATCTTTTTTTGCTATAAAATCTTTATTGTCTCTGATCACTGTTTCACATCTGCCTAGCAACTGTTTGATAATTGTTCTATGTCAGTGTTTACTTCCATGGCAGGAAAAGCTGCAGTGAAATCTGTGGTGAAGTCAGTTGGCGAATACCAGTATCCATGGCGAGATAAGCTGGTGAAATACAAGGACGAGCTATCTAAAGGAGTTTGGGGTTATTGGGAGCTTGGGGCTTGGAAGCCTCTGGGCATCAGTGCCCGTCGTCGGGCCCGCCTTCGCAAAGAGGTTCTTCTTGCTGGGGAAGATTGGGATTATGATCCCCAAAGGAAGGAAATGAGAAACAAGCGTAAAGGGCATAAGTGTGACAGAATTGCTGCTGAAAAGCGGGAGAATACTGCTGCATTGATGCAGAAGATGCCTGCCATGTTAGCTGATTATAGGAAGAGAAGGTGGGAGAGGAAGATGAAAGAGGAAGATGATGCTGCTAGGAGAGCTGTGCAAGAATAGGTTTTGCTAGCTGTAGCATTTCTGTCATCAGTGCTTTTACCATCGTTATGTTTTATATACAATGTCTTTGGCCTTAATGATGCATGACTTTGAAGACTTCTCTTGAATCCTGAGGTTTCCCTTTCTCTCTGTTACATATCGATGATGACATTTGACAACAAACAGCTCTATGAAACCAACATCTAAGAGATTCTGATAACACTATGACGCATTTGACAAAGACTGGTTTGCGATTATTATTATTATTTTTTTGGTTTCTAAATTATGTAGGGTGAAGCGGTGGATTTGCAATCTGATGAGCTAATATTACTAGCTATGTCGATGGATCCATTGTCACTTCCTGAGAATGTAGCTACTATGTTTTTGACCAGCGTATGCAGTTTTCTTCCTTTCTCGGGAGAATCTTCTTGAGAGCAGGACTTGTTAATTGAAAGTGACATTGATGGTGAATTTCCCGAGTTGTCATTGATTGTGCAGGTTCATAATCTCAACTGTAGACGGGTACATAGAATTGATGCCCAAAAATAGGAATCTTGTCTTCTCACTCACCTTGCGTTGTGCTAATGCCTTATTCCTGCATGTCCAGTTTCCCAGCTGTTTTGCTTCTAAGTTATAAAGTTTGTGAGCTGCAATTTCACTTTTTAACATCGTCGTAGTTATTCAAACAGCCAATTTTTTCTCTCGTGTCTTGTTGTCCTCTATTGCCTTGACCAAGTGAACTTGGAAGTAACAAGTGGCTGTTGCTATAGTGGCCTCGGAACGCTGAATGTCTTTGAGGAATGGGTGTTGTGCATGATTAGGGTGAGAGAGTTATAGTGGATGCATCTATTTGCATTAGATCACCTTACCCCGTAACTGTTTCCTTATGCTTTACGTCTGTTTGGGCAACTTTCGTGGTTTTGCTGAAGCTATGCTCTCTTACACCAATGGCACAGACTCATAGTTGGAAATCTTTGTAACCATCAATCCTTTCGAAAGGTTAGGAGCACGGAAATTACAAACTCGAGAATTATTCGTAAGAACAAGGTACTGATCGGGAAAAGGGGATAGGCGGCGCCTTTGTGAGAAGTGATCTATGGACGAGAGTTTTGAGGTGGGGTGGGGAGAGGGTTTTTGACATTGACCTCATGACAAACTTTACCATCAGTAAATCTTGTGTCTGGCAAAATGGGGATATTCTAGAATCTTAAGAATTCATTTTGATATAGAGCTAATGGTGGAAAAACGGTAGTAGATTTTTGGTTGCCTAAATAATCCATTATCTTCAGACTGGTGATAAGAGGTGCAGTGGCGCACTAGTACGATGATGGAACGACGGGTCACTCTAGCTAATGGATGAACGTGGGGCGGAAGTTGCCCCATTTTAACATCTATGCTTAGATTAGGAGATCAATTATTGATTGACGTGCAAACCTTTTGAAAGTGATTCTTCTAATCCCTTCGACTTATTGGCGCAACTACCACCAAATTCTGTCTCTCTCTCTCTGTAAGATGCACATAGGTTGATACAAGCAGTGGACTTGAGAAACTTCTGCACAGGGAGCCCATTTCATAGAACGATCAGATGCTCGCAGCTTTGCCAATATAAGTTAGCTCAATTGATAATAACGGATCACTTCCGTACAAAAGGTCATACGTTCGAATCCAACTGTTAATGTGAAAGCTATATTGGTGAGCTATTTATAAGAACCTTGTGAGTGATCTATAATTCGGAGGACATACCTGACTTGTGGCGGTGATCGGAATCGAATCCAAATCAACCTTTTCTTACAAAAAAAAAAATCAGATACTCAACTTTTTCTTACCAAAAAAAAAATCAGATACTGGCAGCTTTCACTATGGTGAATTTGATAATCCCAGTCTCTGGTACCTCTTTTCAAGCAAGGGGTAGGGGTCCCTTCCCCTTCCATTCCATCTCAAGTGCATCACATGGAGAACAATGATAATGTTACAGACGGAAAAGCGTGCTTGCAGAGCTACTTGATGTCGCTACCCTGAATATAAAGCCGCAATCTTTTTACGTGAAATTTATGTTAAGCTTTGTGATTTTGCAATGAAGAGCACACTCAACTCGAGCACTACTCATAATTAGCAAAACCTTCCCAACAGGCAAGCATACTTCTGTTAATCTGTTACTGAGATTTGTGGATATAGGTTTCTAAAAGTCGTATGAAACTGCCCCGACTTAGAAAATGCACCAAATAAAACTCTTTAGCGGACGCTGCCAGTCATCACTCCTTTGCTTGGTCCAATATGGAGTGCAGTTAGATGACTAATGGCGCACTTTTAGTGGGTATTATTACAGTAGCAGCTGATTAATGAGGATTTGTGCAGTGCGCACACGCATGAATGCACCAAGTTGACCTTCGCAGCAGTTCTAATTATCCTACCTTCGGGCCTAGTTCTCCTTCTTTGGAGCTCTATAAGTAGCCGTTGTGCTTGCTGCTCCAATATGAATAACTGTGATACTAACAGATACAAGTATGAACTGTTTTTCTATTCTGCTCTGCTTTTCCCTCTTCCTTGTCTCATCTCAGACAACTACTGAGGCAGTACGAGCAAAACAAGATGGTGTTTATATTGTTTATATGGGAGCTGCGCCCTCATCAACTCGTGCCCGAAGAAATGGCCATGATCAGCTTTTGAACTCCATGCTAAAAAGGTAGAAGTAGATTACAAAACCAGGAATAAGAACATTTCCGTAATGACAGAATTGAATTCTCCAAGACATTGGTAATCAGAACATGCTTGTGCGCAAGTTAAAAAACAATCAAAGAGCACAACGGAAATTGCAGGACGAACCTTTCATTCCAACGTTGGCATTATTTATTCCACATTTCTTTTTATGTCCATGGTCTTTTTAATCCCACAGAGTTCATGTTGTTGAATCTTTTGCAACTGTGCCAGGAAAAAAGATGTAGTATACAGCTACAACAATGGGTTTTCGGGGTTTGCAGCTCGTTTATCTGAGGAAGAGGCCCGATCAATTGCTCAAAGGCCTGGAGTAGTATCAGTTTTCCCTGATCCACTCCTACAGCTCCACACAACACGTTCCTGGGACTTCTTGAAGTATCAAACTGATGTAGAAATCAATTTGAGGCCAACTTCAGGTTCGAATTCCTCCTCAAATGGAGAAGACACCATAATCGGCATCATGGATACAGGTAAAGTTACCCGGAGACATTTAGTACCCAAGAAAAAGCATTGTGCATCTTGCCAGCACTTCTGATTTCAAACTGTCATTGCAGGAATTTGGCCGGAATCAAAAAGTTTCAATGATAAAGATATCGGTCCAATCCCACCAAAATGGAAGGGATCATGCATGCAAGGCTCTGGCTTTACTTCTTCCAACTGTAACAGGTAATTTATATTAAAATTGTTGCAGAGAATTGGAAACAAAATAAAGAATGCATGTGCTTATTTCCTTTTCTTCTTGTTATCTTGGACCTCCTTTGCCTTCTTGAAAATTCCATTTCTTTCCTCAATTGTTTTGTTGTAAACCTATAGTGTTAAAAAAAAAAAAGTATGTATCCTCGAGTACTAGAATCACAAAGGGTAGAAAACTATGGTCGCAAAAGCTCACAATGTTGATTATTTAATGTGTCATTGGCATCAGGAAATTGATTGGAGCAAGGTATTATGATGATTCCGAATCTTCAACTTCATCTGGGTCCCCGAGGGACCAAAATGGCCATGGTACTCATGTTGCAGCCACTGCAGCAGGAAGCCCCGTTGAGGGAGCATCCTATCGTGGCCTAGCTGAAGGCATCGCCAAGGGTGGCTCCCCGGGGTCTAGGATTGCAATGTACCGTGTTTGTACTCTTAACGGATGTAGAGGTTCAGCTATTCTAAAAGCATTTGATGATGCAATTGCCGATGGGGTTGACATCCTATCACTATCACTTGGTGCATCAGCAGGCTCAGAGCTGGAATTCTCAGTAGATCCCATTGCGATTGGAGCATTTCATGCAGTTGAAAAAGGCATTCTTGTTGTATGCTCGGCAGGGAATGATGGTCCTGCCCGCGAGACAGTTGTAAATGTCGCTCCTTGGATTCTCACTGTTGCTGCCACCACCATTGACCGACAATTTGAGTCAGATGTGGTTTTAGGCGGAAATAAAGTCATCAAGGTAATTAATGAACTTTACTCATTCTTCAAAAATTTTAGAAGAAAATGAGTGCAGGTCCTATGGTGTAACATTTGAACTAATTATGAGAAACAGGTTACATTCCTTATTCCCAACTTGAATATCCTTGTCTCAATCTCAGGGTGGAGGAATTAATTTTGCTAATATCCAGAAATCTCCCATATACCCCTTGATCTATGGTCCTTCCGCCAAGGATTCTGCAGCTTCAGATGATTCAGGAAGGTAGATATAACTAACACATAATCCTTCGGTTTTAGCCACTCAGACGCATAATCATCAGACATCATTGACAAGGAGTTGTTTTAGAACTTGTATCCCAGGTGCATTAGATAAAGACAAAGTCAAGGGGAAAATTATTGTGTGTGAAAACTCTGATGGTGAATATTCGCCAAAAGAGAAGCTTCAGACGGTAATAAGCCAGGGTGGAATTGGAGTAGTATTGATAGATGATGATGCAACGACGGTGGCGTCCATCTATGGCTCTTCTCCATTAGCAACAGTCACCAAAAAGGATGGCTCAGAGATTATCTCTTACATCAACTCAACAAGGTAATCACCAATCTGGAAAGAAGGTGAAAGAATTGCTTCATGATGTTCCGTTTTATACAAATGCATGACATTTCTAAGTCCACCTGGGAACTCTGCAGGAATCCTACTGCAACTATTTTACCAACCGTAACTGTAACAAAGTACACGCCAGCACCATCCATAGCCTATTTCTCGGCAAGAGGCCCTGCATTTAACACTAGAAACCTTCTCAAGGTAAAACTTTGCCCCTTTGTTTAGTATCTCAAAGAATTAGTGGAGATCAAATGTCAGCAATGGAATTGATGTCTTTGATCCCAATTCTCTTGCAGCCTGATATTGCAGCACCAGGAGTTGACATCCTTGCGGCATGGCCTTCAAATGTCACAGAAGATGCAACTGAAGATGCAGAAACATCACCTCCTTTCAACATACTCTCAGGCACGTCGATGGCTTGCCCCCACGCTTCTGGAATTGCAGCAACAGTTAAATCCCAGTATCCCTCATGGAGTGCTTCTGCCATCAGATCGGCCATCATGACCACAGGTTAATACTGAATCAATTCCCTCGGACCCCCTCCCATAATCGTTGAAACATCATATGACCTGATCAAATTCTATGTTCATCTACAGCGATTCAAACAAATAATTTGAAGGCCCAAATAACAACAAATTCTGGGGAGCCAGCAACTCCATATGACTCGGGCGCTGGGGAAGTAAGCACGACAGGTCCATTCCAACCAGGGCTAGTTTATGAGACTGAAATAACTGAGTATTTGCAGTTCCTCTGCAACAATGGCTACGACATTTCCAAGATAAAACTCATTTCACCAGACCTTCCTAAAACATTTTCTTGCCCAAGCAACTCGAGTGGAGATTTAATCTCCAACATGAACTACCCTTCAATAGCAGTATCTGGCTTGAAAGTGAATGAATGGAAGAAAGTACTGAGGACTGCAACGAGTGTTGGTGAAGATGAATCAGTCTATACAGCAACGGTTGACACACCTACAGGGTTGGAAGTCCAAGTGACTCCAAATAAGTTGCAATTCACCAAAAACAACAAGAAGCTAAGTTACGAAGTGGCTTTCAAACCTTCAGGAGCTGTGAATGGAGATTTTTTCGGCTCAATCTCATGGACCAACGGAAAATATAGAGTTCGCAGTCCTTTCGTTGTAAGTCAGTGACAAACAGGAATGTGTAGCTTTGGATAAATGTACGCCATGTAACACTAATAACAAACCTAAATCGCAATCATAACTTAACAGATGACCAGGACTGAAGCAAGCTGAAGTAACACAAACGAACTCCAATATCACGTTGCATTTTCTGAATTCTCTTTCTAGTATTGTATACTTAGTTGCCAAAGAGAAATCATAATGAACATTTCCAGAATGATTCACTGAATTCCTTTCGTTAAAAAAAAAAAAAAAACTTGTCTACTTTCTACAAGAAAGGGACCAAAAAAGGAAAAGAAATAAAAAAGAACGGACAGAAATTATCACTTCAATGACGACGTTTCAGGCAGGGAAATTTTTTTTTTTTGTTTTTTGTTTTATGTTATCGTTTGTTTTAGCCATTAAATTTCAGATTTTTTAATGCTAAAAAAAATGCTAATGTTTTAAATTTACCCAAGATTAACTTCAACTATTTTTTATTTTTCTCTATAATCACTTTGCACAATCAACTTCTGCAAAATTCACCGCAAACGATGATAGGCAAATTACAAGTGGAGAAAAGAGGGGCTTTTGAATTGGCTTTGTCATCAAAATTTCACAGGCAACCGCATGAAATTGCTTCTTCGGTCCAGTATTAGACGTCATCCCTTACCCCACCAAAATTGTAGCAAGGGAACTGACCGCCAAATCACTTCTGTTCCGGAAACTCTTTGGGAAAAACCGCAAGCCAAGCCATAGTGTAAAAGGATCTCAACTAGACAGGGCTCAATTCGGCCAAATCAAATCTCAATAAGAATTACGTGGTGTTCCTTTAGCTACAGCGCCTTGCCACACCAAATTAATGCCTCCATGTTACAAAACTTGGCATCTCTGATGAACCCAACCTCAGAAGTCAAAATCAACGACTTCCTTCCACCGTGACGTTGTTTCCACACTTTAGATGTCCACTCCTACGAATTTCATTGTTGCTGACGCTGATAAGTAAGACATGAGACTCTCTCATTATTCTCGTCTGATTATTCAGTTATTGAAAAGATTTATAGACCATGAAAGTGAGTAATTTTTTTTAGTGCAAATGGGAAGTTTCGAATCCAAAATCTTCAAAATGAGGTTTGATAAAATTGAAATTTGAAAAGATTCTAAACAATGTTTTGAAACTGATACCGGCCATCGACTCGATCGAAATCAGGGGTCAGGGTCACCCAAACCCATCTAAAGAGTAGGATGATGTCATAAATATATTTAATTTTAAAAATTAATGTATTACGTTAAATTTCTATAAACATATTAATGCTAAGAAAAGTAGGTTCAATATATGTTTGATGTTTCGAAAATACTTTACAAGAAAATACAAATAAGGTAGTATAATTAAATAGCAATTTATGCCATTTACAATTTATAGCATATTCAACAAGTTTAGATTCTAATTGGAGGGCTTATTTGAAAAGTAATACAAGAATTTAGTGCTGTAGCTATAAGTTCTAAAATGTTTCTAGGCGTAATAATAGTTTTCTAGTACTCTAGAGGTCAAACCGTAAAATTGATAGAACTTTTAACTGTGAACCTACTTTTTCTCCCTCATTTTCTCTCCTACTGGTGCCGCCTCTCTCATTTCCCAATTTTCTTCTTCCTATTCCAACTTCTCTACAGTAGCATGAGTTTTTCTTCTTTTCCTTTTTCTTTTTCATTTTTTCCTTTTTCAGTTTTGTCTTTGTTGTTTTTTCTTCTCAAAGTCACAAATCTTAAACTTTAATCCTTAATTTTTTTTTTCACACATCTCTATTCTCTATCTCCCAATGTTTTTGCCTTTTTATCATTTTTGAGATCTATAATTAGATCTTGTTTGAAAAATATGCTTAAAGATGGTTTTTTTAATGGGTTGAAGATTGGTTGATGAAAGGATGCTTGATTTTGCATATGGGTGGAAAACTATGTATTGACAAAGGCAAAAGCGGGCTCAAGAAGAATAAAGAGGAGGGGAAAAAAAAGAGCAAATTATCCGGTTGGCCATTAAACTTTTGCCATCGTCGAGTTTTGGTCACTCAATTATTAAAAGTCTGGTTTTGGCCACTCAAATATATAAAAGCGAGACGCGAGGCCATTCTGTTAGATTTAGCCGTTAACTTCATCGATGCGTCCGTTTGCGCAATTTCCAATACAAAAAGCAGGGACAATTTAGGAAGGCCTGGCTAATGCTCCTCCAGCTCAGAAGGCCTTATTAGACGGGCATAAATCTAATCTTAGAATCAAGAAATCATCGTCAGGAGCAAGAGGAGGAGGAGCCCAGAAAAGGGAGGAGGAGTTCTATGACAGGAGGAGAGGCGTGAAGAAAGCGTATGGCTTGATGTCGAAGAGTCTTGAATTGGAGAAACCTAATCAAGCCACGCCGTAGTGTGAAATGAATAGACCATGTATTTCGCTTGCGGTGAATGGCAGAAGGAAGTCATTTTGCTGCTCGCAAGCTGAGTTGGCTGACTTCTTTTGTTGCACCGGCGTCAAGGTTGTGGCTGTTGACATGCCGCCCTTTATGCAGATTCATGCTGTCGATTGTGCCAGAAAAACTCGTGATAGCTTGGAAAAATTCACTTCCAAGACTCTTGCTTTTACCCTCAAAAAGGTACTCCTGCCTGCTATAGCATCTGTCAAAAGAGCTTTCAGTAATCACTGTGGGCTTTTTGGTTTAGGTTCTGTGATGTGGGGCTTTCCTTTTTTTTGTTTGTTTTTTTTTCCCTTTTAGGGGATCAATTCGCTTGCTGATCAGCAGGCACGCTGGTTCTTGAATTGGTTAGTCTCAGTTCTGATTTTCTTGCTTGCAGGGACAATTTAGGACCTGAGAGTAGCATTCACGCTACTCTCCTCACTACCCCAGCTAGTCCGCTCCCACTACCACTACTCCCCTTCTTCCTCCACCCCCTCTTCCTACACAGAGTGGAGATCCGCCAGAGCCACCTACTACGCCGTCGCGGAACTGGGAGACCAGGTTGGTGGGGCTTGTGGTTATGGGGACCTGGAGAAAATGGGATACGGGAAAGCCACAGCTGCACGCAGTATAGTCCTGTTTGAAAAGGGTCAGATCTATGGAGCTTGCTTTCAAGTTAGGTGTGTTGAGGACCTGAGATGGTGTATTCCTAGGACTTCCATTATTGTTACTGCGATTAACTTTTGTGCTCCGAATTATGGGTTTGAAGTTGATGGTGGAGGACATTGTAATTTCCCTAAATTGACCCTGCTTTTTGTATTGGAAATTGTGCAAACGGACGCACCCATGAAGTTAACGGCTAAATCTAACAGAATGGCCTCGCGTTTCACTTTTATATATTTGAGTGGCCAAAACCAGACTTTTAATAGTTGAGTGACCAAAACTCGACGATGGCAAAAGTTTAATGGTCAACCGGATAATTTGCTCGGAAAAAAAAGTAAAAGGAAAGAAAATTTGGGTTTTTACCGGTTTAGCTAGTTTTTAGTTGAATCCGATTTTTTTATCGAGTTTAACCAAGTTCTTGTTTAATGGTTTTATGAGTTAACTTGGACCGAATGCCTGTCTAGTAGCCGGTTCAACTGGTTGGTCCAGTGGCCGATTTGAATTTGAAAACATAGGTTCTAAGTGACATTGAATGAAACTAAAATTTGAATTCTAAATTCATTAAGTCAAGTGAACTACTAAATCTAATATATTGACTATCCATCAAATTGAATGATAAGTGAATAATTTATTACTTATTTTTTACAATAAGTTTTGCCTATCCTTTCTAAAAAAAAAAAATAAATAAGTTTTACCTAATAAATTCAATTCTACTTAATTACTTTAGATATGTTATTTTTTATTATTAAACGTGTCTAAACATATTAAAATTTTAATTTATTAAGTTTAAGTACAAAATTGAATTAATGAATTATCAAGCAAAGCCTTACAATTCTTCCTTCTGGACCGCCCGACCCATCCCCCAACAACGAATTTAAATTGACAAATATTCATTTCCTTCTTACAATGCAATTCAATTACTTGATAATATCCATTCAAACCAGTTATTTGAGTAATATACAGAATTAGGGGACATGGTATCGTTCATCAACTTCGAAAGAAGCACAAATTGATATTCCTCTAATTTAGTTGTATCAGTATTTCAGAATAGGTCAATCAACTACTTATCTTATTGAACCACAACTTCAATTTTTGCCATTGCCTACACAATTCCTTAATGGGCATCACTGTCTGCAGAATTCACAAGTCACAACCCTTGCAAAAATTCCTGGGAACCCTGGCAACTGTGAATTGTTGCCCACAGACGCCATACCCTCGACACCAATCAAATATGTCTTCAACAGGGACGTGTAAAAGAAGCTAGGTTCTTCGCCAGCCCACCATGATGCGTAGGTGCTTTTCAAAGGAAAAGCATGAAAAAGAACGGATACAATCAAGATGTACCATAAATAGAATAATTATTGTTCTCGTGAGGCTCTTCAAGAGAGCCCGCTTCTTGCCAGCAAGATAAACAAAAGGAGATTCAAAATTTAGAAAGCACGGAGTACATTCAAATGTGATGAAAGAACCATACAGGCATCAGGAGCAATAACTAATTCCTTTTTCTAGATACAGGATACTTGCAGTCTATGTCAAGTGAGCCTGTAATGATAGCTTGAGAAATCAAATCCATGGGAGTTGACATTTGTAATGCTCAACCATTTGAATATACCTCACTAATTGATCCATGAACTTGATATCATATAGGTTTCTCACCCAAAATTGAAAATACTATCCACCAGTGGATTATAACATAATTTACCCAAAAATTCCACAGGTTACTTGCCTGCAGTTGTATGAATCATATTTCCAACAAAGTGTTAACGGAAAAGTCAGAACGATTAGTTAGAGGGACCAACTTGACCGTAACAAGAAAGCAGGAAAGTGAGAAGTTCTATCAGCCAAGTATACAACAGCTGGCTGAAATCTAAATCGTTTACCAAAACTAAAATTTAGGAAGGCTTCTACCTGAAAATGGTCCCAACTTCTTGAACCTTGGACCAGACCACCCATGCTTAAGCCCCAGCCAAGATCATCTTCAGGCGTGTCAGACATGCTAACAGCCCACTGTAGATGTCTAGTGTTTGATTGTTTCATTTCAATCCAACCACCTATTCGTGTGCTCTCATCAAGCTCTGATTCAAGCATCAGCGCAACAGATCCATCCAACCGTTCCCCTTCCCCATATGTGTCAATCTGCAAACCATTTTCCTCAATAGATGTTTCAGAAAGTTTACGTTGCCTAAAAATGCTGAAAGGGGTTGTCATAGCTCCAAGACGCAGTCTTTGATTTGACAATTTTGGCACTTTATGGACACCCAAAAGTGAGAGTTTTGTACTTTGAGATAGTTGATAGACAACTTGCCCAAAAGTGCCAAAGCAATTCGTGATTTCACTACAGTTGGTTGGCAATCCTAGTCCCGAAACAAACTGAGCCAATGAGGCAACAACATTCGACTTCTTGACCATTATGCCAAGAGCACTTCCATTCTTCTGATTCAGGAAGGGTGGTCCATACGCTGAATACTCGGAGAAGCCCTTGTCCTACAAATCAAGAAGAGCTATCAGTATGTGCCATACAGAGAGAATGGGAAGTTTGAAAATACATGAGGCTGTTTGATCATTTATGTCCACATGCACCTGAGTGACCACATTATAATTAACATTTAATATTGTTGCGTTAAAAAAAATTACAAATGCAAGCAGACAAACACAACAGAAAAAGAGAATTCCATATGAAAAAGAAGCATTAATTGTTGCAGATGAAGTTTTACCTTATGAAAAGAGCTCATATCAACTGCAACATCACTGCATGTAGCACCCATAGGGATAGCAACCGCAGAAAACCAATCACTGACATTTGCTGAATAGAGAAGCTTTCCCAATGACAGTGGCCTTTCCAAAGTGTTGCCTTGGTCTTTTCTACCAGCCACAAACTCTGCGACAAGCATATCTTTCTCCCTAATGGCTGTTTCAAATACAAGTCTTAGATCCACACCAGTCCGAATACCTGCATTTTGGACTGTTTGATGTTGCTGATCATCAAAATTGTCCACCATAAACATTGCACCAACCACATCTATATCTCCCCTTACACGGGTACTAGCCTCTTGGAATGGAGTTGCTTTTGAAGTTTTATAAAACGTCAGCATTCGTTCCACCTTGTCTTGCCTATCTCTTAGTTTCATAATATCAGAAAAGGCTTCTCGTTGCAACCGCTTCAAAATTTCAATCTGAAAATCACATCATTGCAAGAGTTGTAAAGCCCCATCAAACAGCCTGTAGCTACCTATGCACGCAAAAAGCACGTCAAGCTCAAGCAGGTCAACATATAAAGTTTCGTCAAGGCTGACGCCCACAAGAATGTTGCTTCACATACTCCCAAAATAAAAAACTAGAGAACTTCTGCAATAAATACGGATATATGTGGCAGCCACAAATAATAATCTCTCAGAGTATGGCATGCCACATTTCTGTTTCAATCTTCAGTATTCTTACATGACTATCCACGGTAGACTATCAAGTCGTACATGGAAGAAACTATCAGGAAACTACGTACTTGAACGCATTCTATAGTTGGCTCTGATATAAAAACACAAGCTTAAACAACAACCAACAAGGGATTTAAGCATTGAACCATGTACTATTTCACAATGCATGGATGAATCCCAAAAAACAAAAAAAAAACCCAAATAGATCACAGCTCATTAAATCAATCAATTGCTAACCTAGCCAGTACAATTCAGATACAAACTGAATAAAGGGGAAAAATTTGTAGTAATAAAAAATAAGAAATGGAAAAGTACCGGATTTCGGCGGTTGAAATTTTGTGGCCAGCGAAGGATGCCCCGGGCCAACAGTTCCTGAGAGGATTTAGCAAAATCTTTCAATTTATCCACCACCGAAGCCACTGGCTCCATTCCACTTTCACCCAAATTCGTCGCCGTAAGAGAAATTTTATTTAAATTTTATTTTCTTAGCAGAAACCAATTACTGCTCCTCCTACAGAAGCAGAAAGCAAACCACTGGAGAGCCGCGAGACTACTTCGTCGGAGAACTGGGACATAATAATGGGCTTCGGTGGGGAGAGTACAAATATGGGCCTTGGAATCTGTTGAACTAAGAACTTTGGGCCTTGGGTTGTCTGTTGGGTCGTCCTAAAATGGTCCGCTTTTAATGTCCAGACCTTTTTTTATTATTATTATAATATGTCAAGATCTAATCACACGAATTGGTCTGAAGTTTTCGAATATGGGCCTTGGAATCTGTTGAACTAAGAACTTTGGGCCTTGGGTTGTCTGTTGGGTCGTACTAAAATGGCCCGCTTTTAATGTCCAGACCTTTTTTTTATTATTATAATATGTCAAGACCTAATAACTCGAATTGGTCTGAAGTCTACGAATGGCCTGCTTTTAATGAATATTTGAGTGTCATAAAAGAAAAAAAAAATGGCCCGTTGATACCCATTTTGAGCTCCTTTTTTTTTTTAATACAAAGGAGAGGCAACTGCCTGTTAACAAGGTACTAAGCGTAGGATTGTAACCCCAATTATATCAGCTCCTAGTAGCTCCCTTAGTCCATCCGATGGCTCTTCCATTAGTCCGCCTAGTAACTGTAACTGGATTGCTTCTTTTGCCAGCCAATCAGCGCACTTGTTTCCTTCCCTCCATCTATGTTGCAGCCTGCACGACCATTCTCTGCTCTTCATGTTTCTAATCTGCTTCACCAAATTGTGGTAAGGCGAGGTCGTCACTACATCTTCTATTAACGACTCTATGGTGACATCTTTGTATCCTTTGATCCAAGCCAACTGCATTCCTTTAAGAATTCCTCATAGCTCAACTGCTATGTTACTTGTTTCCCCTATACTTTCTGCAAAACCTCCTAACCATATCCCTGCTGCATCCCCAATGAGCCCTCCTACGCCAGCTCTGCCAAGATTTCTTTCCGAGGCACCATTCACATTAATTTTGACCACTCCTTCAATTGGTGGCATTCATCTTATGAAGCACTCTTGCCTAGGGAATTTGCCTCTCCCATTGAATAGAAGCTGCTTTGCTTGTTCTGCCGTTTGCCTCAGAACTGCTGGGGAGATCTAAAGGATGTAGTTCTCACCTTCAATAGCAAATTTGTTTCTGGCCCTCCATGCATGGTACACCGTTAGTTGGAACATTAGCTGCCACATCACTCTCCCCCCAGCTCCTATGCCCTCTTGCGTTAGGTTCTAGTCTACCCAATCTACTGTGTTCTTACTGAAAAAC